TGGCTTGTTTGACATCTAAAATCTTTCACTCTTACAGACTTGCCATTATGGGTACCTTTTAGTTGTGGCTACCTTTAGGCCATCTGTCTTTTTAGTGACCATTCCATGTATCAACAAGCTTTCTTGAAGATGTTTTAAGAACTCGGGAAAAGTATCATCCTTTATAACTTCTTCAAAGTCCGCCAAACCAATTGTTCTTGTGATGCATTACTTAGAGCCATGTTGCTTAGATATCATAGTTGATGCATAACTAGCATATCCGAGTCACTCTAATAAGGAGAACCCAAGGATGCATCCTAAAGTGAGCCAAATATAATGTTTGGTTTATCCATATAGCTTTCCATAAAAAAAAAGACATTAAACGAGTTTAAGTAGTAAGGTAGCCCATTTTTTTTTCATGAGATTTTCAATATCATGGTCATAAATTATCTTAAAGGCTCTTGCTCTTTCACTAGATAGATTAGATTATTGACTTATATGCTTCCATATGACGATGCTCTACACATATAATAACTACACACAACACCTCATTTTGCCTTTCCTAAATCTTCGATAATGATTCAAAGATAGAATTGTTTTAGTAAGGAGGGCAATAGAAGGATTAAGTAAGTTTTTCCTAACCTTGATGAAGAAATATAACCGTATCTAGATTGATCACACTAGTAATGGATGGGAAGAGAATCGGACCATAGATGCATAAAGTTATCACTTTTAACTTCTTTGAGCTTATCTTAGGATCTTTCAAGCTTCATTTGAATACATCACACCAAGGTCCATAGTTCCAAACCTTTGACATAATCTTGGCTCATATCTTTGTTAACTCAATTTTAGACATTATGAACACCTCATCATATCGACAATAGAGGTATACTTAGTATAAAGAGTTTGGAAACTGAAGCATTTAATTATAGTCCTTTATGATAGGAGGCATATCAATGTTTTTAAGGGTGAAACATCGATATGATGGATCTTATAAAGGAATTAAAGCCCTCGACATTAGTTTTTAAATCGATATCTCTAGCAATGTAGCAAGATTCTCATATTTACTCTTAAGCCTTTATTAATCACTTAAAGTTAATAGTTTCTAGCATTCTAAAAGATTTTTGGCATCATTAACAACCGGCTTGAAGTGAGTTAAGGCCTCGAAGGTTATCTAAAACTCATCTCTTAGGTAATCTCCTTTTATATCTCGAAGAGTCTCGAATTTAGCCCGATTTGTTGCCACTATCTCATACTTAGCTTGAATTCTTTTATCAACCATCTTGAAACATCATGATCAAGTTTTTTAAGTCAATGTTTCAATCATATCTAACTTACCTAGTGTATTTAATTACAAAAAATGGTCCGATTCTAGCCACAATATGAATAGGTAAACTCTATCTAAGTCTAAAAGAGATACCTTTTTGCCAAGTGAATCATAATAAAATCATTTAGGAATAACCAAATTGACATCGCCTATCATCAAAATCATTGATTACCAATCATAATGGTGATAAATAGAAAGAAGGCTTGAGTTTTTATAAGTGTTTACAAGAAGCACAACCCGTTAGGACACCACTACTAACTCTCTAAAACTTGAGAAAAAATGCATATAATTTGTAATTATACAAATGAAATGATATATGTGGGGCACGACTCCATATCTAGCCTCAAAATATAAAATTAAAGACTAAAAAATTAAACAATTAAAAAGTCAGTAAAAGAAAACAACATAAATAACACATATTTATACAAACATATTTCTATAACACATACGTACATAAATAAGCAATTAAAGATAATCATTCACTCAAGACACAAGCAATCGGCTAGATTTTTCGATACATGCTTTCAAAACTAGACCCTAAGATGGCATTTCCCCAATAGACTCGCCAAAATTATTGATAGAGGCCCATATACGAGTAGAGTTGCCACTTAGCAATTGAAAAAATTAAGAAACCCTCAAAAAATTAGTCTACATAAATATTTAAGTAATTGGTCTATTACAACTGGGAAAGATCGAAATCACTACTACTATGTCCTACCTAATATAGACTATATTATATGATTGTGAAACTAGAGTTTGACCTTACTATATTATAAACCTATACCTACTTGAGTGAATTCATGTTACTTGAGTCAATTGATTGAGTATTATAAAACTTAGGTTAGTCAAAGGTCTATGTCAATAGTATATAGGTAAAAAGTAATAAAAGTTTAAAATTTAGTGACTCTCTTATAAATGCAGTCCATAGTCATTAAATTTGATGAGTCCCTAATGACTCAAACTCATAACATAACACATATCATTAACATAACCAACAATAAACCCATAGTGGTCGTAAGCCCATATCAAAAGATAAGTGAGAATCTAGAGATTAGAACCCTATATCATAACTCATATCTTATTCATAATAAACTATAAGCCCCTAGAGGCTGCAAGCCTTTATCAAAAGATAAGCAAGTCTCTAGAAACTATGAGCTCTTATCATAACTTATGTCATATTCATAAAAAACAATGAGCCCCTAGTGGCTACAAGCCCATATCAATAGATAGGCGAGCCTCTAGGGACTACGAGCTCATATCATATTTGTTGATAGGGGCCTATAAATAAGCGAGTTACCACCTAGTTATCGAGGAGAACTAGAAAACCTAAATACAAAATTGGTCTACATAGATATCCGGGTAAGAGGTCATTTACGTATGAGGAAGGTTAACACTACCACTATCCCGTCCTACCTAAGATTGGCCATATTATATGGATGAAAAAATTAAATTCTAGTTTTGATATGTTATGATTCTATGCCTACATGAGTGAGTTTATTATTGACTTTAATTGATCAAGTAATTTGAGGTTTAGGTCGGTTAAAGGCCTAAATCCATACTCCAAGAAGAAATAAGGATAGGAATTGGAATTTTAGCTAATCCATTGTGACAAAGAAACTTGTATTGATAAATAAGTGAGTCTCCGAGAATTAAAAGCTCATATTGTCATGAATAGGAAGTCATTGATGACTTCATTCATATAAGTAGGAAGCCACTAATGACTTTTAATCATAAATTTAGAGAGCCATTGATCGTTTTAATCACATATATGAGAAGCCACCAATAACTTCAATTCATATAGCAATAAGTCATTTAAAAATATTCAAAAGCCATCGACGACTTCGATCCACATAAGTGGGAAACCACCAATTGCTTTATTTTAACAATAGAAAATAGCTAAATAGTTTTAGAAGCAACCGCCAATTTTGTCCATATAGAAAGAAAGCCGGTGAAGACTTCAATTCATTAAAAAAAGCCACTAATGACTTCAAATCACTTCATTTAAGAAGCCACCAATGATTCATCCATAAAATTTAGAAAGCCACTAACGACTTTAAATCACATCATTTAGAAAGCTCCTAACAACTTTGTTCATATAAATGAGAAGCTACTAATGGCTTCATCAATAAAATTTAAGAAGTCATTAGCGGCTTTGAATCATATCATTTGGGAAGCCACTAATGACTTCATCCACACAAGTAGAAAGATAATGATGAATTCGTTTAAAAAATGTAAAAGTCACTCGAAGATTTCAAATCACATCGTTTAAGAAGTCATCAATAACTTCATCCACATAAGTGGAAAGCCATTGAAAGCTTCATCTATAAATTTTAGGAAGTCACTAATAACTTTGAATCTTATTATTTGAGAAGCCACCGATGACTTTGCCCATAAAAGTAAGAAGCTACCAATGACTTCATCTATAAAATTTAAAAATTCACCAATGACTTCAAAACACATCATTTGGAAAGCCATCGATGACTTTATCTATATAGATAAAAAGCCATTGATGGCTTCATTTACAAAATTTAAGAAATCACCGATGACTTCAAATTACATCATTTGAAAAGTCACCGATAACTTTGTTTTAACGAATAACAAAATAGCTAAATAGCTTTGGAAGCCACCGATGACTTCATCCACAAAGGTGAAAAGCCATTGATGACTTTTTTTAATGAACATAAAATAGTTAAATCATGCTTTGAATATGAACATCACATAATCAAAATATTGTAATCAATATGTCGGATCAATTATATCATCCTAATTTTTTTTTTACGTGCGAACACTAAGGACTCGTTTGATAACCCATTTAAGTAACTTAAAAAATTAAGTTATACTACTTAATATAAAATATTTGTTTGATAATCTAAATAACCTCATTTTTAAATTTTAAATTCAGTCAAAATCTACCTAATTAGATAAGTTCAAATTTTTAACTTATTACTTTTTTATTAACACACTCAGTTGAATGATTTTCAAAACTTTTTAAATATGACTATAATACCCCGATATATTTTTATAACTTCGATTATACAAACCAATTAAAAAACAATCTCTACTCTCCTATTGATAAAAAAGTAAAAACTTTTTTTATTATTGGTGCTTCCATCCTATCATCATTAACAAGCTACTAGGAATCGAAAACTCCAAAGTCTAATCCCAAGTAATTTCCTTCTATTTCATTATGGGTGAAATTTTCTTCTATTTCATTATAGGTGATTTATCTTTATGTTTGTTGATATCTTTTTTTTTTTTTTGGTATATTTTTTTGTATAATTATTTTGTTAGATCAAGCTCGTGTTATAGATTAAGCTATTTTAGTTTCTAGGTTTTGATTAAAGGTCAAATCTTTACGATTAATTGAAATTTTCACGTGAAAATTCGGTTAGACTAAGGAGTTTTTATGATTTAGAAAGACATATGATTCCAGTTATAGAAACGCAATCCGGACTTTAACGCAGCTTGAAAAATCGAGTAAAGCCTTACATAGTTTTGCTTATCTTTTATCCCTTTTCAAAATTAAGATATTCAGGGGAAGAAAATTAGCGTAAACATTGAATTAAAAGACTACAACATTCATATTTTTTAACAAGCACCAGTTTCCTATTCGAAACTAATAAAATCATTCAAACACTAACACACTCAAAATACCCCAAACCCAACGATAAACCCACATCATATATGCTCCTCTTCAAGTAATGTTGACCTTAATATTCTTAGGCTTCTCGGATTCGGGAGGTGGTAATTTCTCAATAGTAATGGTAAAAAACCCATCTTCACGGACAGCAGAAATAGCATCAATATTAGCATTCTCTCGATAACACAAATTTCCTCACAAACTTACCAACCTCCTTTCCATTCTCACATACTTGGCTCTTTCTTTCTCCTCCCCATGCTTCCTCTCTCCACTAATAACCGAGCATATAGTCATCCTCCACTTGAACTTGATATCCCCCGACTTCAATCTCGGCATGTCAATGATGAACACAAAAAGTTTAGATCTTTCACATGAGCTGGTTCTTCTATTGGAAAAATGCTTCTCCCTCTATTGTTGGTTGGTGGATCTACTAGAAAAATGTGAAAAGAATAAAAGAAAGTTTGGGTTGCTTGATTCTTCTATCGTGGGGTATTTTTTTTTAAAGGGATTGAGGTTTTTACATGGGATATTGAGGTGTGGAGAAATAGGGATGAAAAGGAAGTTTCGGAGAGATGTACAATGAAGGGTTCCGGTGGTTTTTGTATGTTGGGCTAGGCATAAGTGTTGGGTCTAGAATGCTAGAATCATTCGGGAGCCCAAACTATTAATGGTCCGACTAAAAATGTTTTCCAACAAAACAAACCAATAGAAGCCGCCATCGTACCTCATTCCATGGCTTAATGATACATACTAATTTATTAATAATGTATGTTTATATTCGTGAAGTATCCAAAGAGATAAAACAATTGTCATTTTTCATTTGATATTAAATTGTAGCTAGTAGAAGGCTTGTCATTTGATAATAGCATATTGAATTTTTGTAATTTTCACATTAAGTTTGATAAGGAAAGTGATCATGAAATTGCACTTATCCATTAATTAAATGCATGTGAAAACAACCAAAAGGAGATGGATTGTGCATCAATGCATTAATTTATAATTTATTTCCTCCTATACATAGATTAAAACACTACTTAGACATGGAAATTAACTAATCCTAAAAAAATACTATGAGAAAAAGTAATGGATGCTAGCATGACAGGTAGGTCGCAAGTAATTATATTATTATACTTGAAAAAAGGAATGGCATGCAAGAGAGATTTGACATATGTTGTGAGCCATGTCAACTTTTCCTCATTATATGTTTTGAAATGTTCCTCCAATTTTGCCGTCAAAAAGCAATATCCAAGGCAAAGGGCCGAGTGGATCATAATTTTTTGGTGGTAAAAAATGAGGTTAAGCAAGTTGTACCCCACGAATTCATTCATTCATTAATTATTATTATTCTTTCTATCCCAAACCAATTATATATGTATATATGAGCAATTAAACCAACTGATGTGAGAACTCATATGTAAATATTTTCTTGCATAGGAATGTTATTGAACAAGCATTTGGTGTTTTAAAAGCAAGGTTTCCAATTCTAAAGACAATGACCCCATATCCATTTATAGTTCGGAGAGATATTGTTATTGCATGTGTTGCAATACATAATTATCTTCGAAGAATAATTATTATCGATAGCTTTTTTGAACAATTTGATGGTGATTATGTGATGCATCAAACGCCAAATATTATTGCAAATTTACCAATCATCGGAGGAGGGGCACAAGCACGAGCCGATCAAACATTTATGATTAATTTGCGAGATCAAATTGCAAATGAATTGAATAGTCTTTGAGATTTTATTTATTTTGTGTATGATACGACAATTATGGTATCTTAGACCATTTTTTATTTTTTATTAATAATCATTTTTATTTATTTATTTATACACAAACATATTTTGTTTGCGTTAAAAAATATCATGTTACAATTACAAGATTAAAATTATCATGTATATAGCTTTAGCATATTCGAGTAAGAGTGGTTATCAAACAATCTTATTATATTCGGCACTTAATTTTCAGTAAATACCAAATAGCTTGTTAACTTAAAATTCGGTACTTAATTATTCGGCACTTAAAATTCAATACTTAACATATTTAGCACTTCATTTTCAGTTTTATCAAACACCGCCTAAGACTAGCACTCGTTCGGACAAACCATCAAAATTAAAGCCCAAACTTATCCTTTTAGCTCTATCATAGAACATTGATCAATCGGACTTATTACACCTTAAAATACCTAGGTCTCCAACCCTATCGGGTTCGACACATAATGGTGTATCTCAACATACTTCAAATCGCAACAACAAAACCAAACATGCATTTATATATTTTATCCATCATAAATATTTCATTCACATATTTTCATCCAAAAATTAAATGGATATAAATATTTGAATATTATCCAAGATAAATTGAAAGATGTTGGATTTTTCCTAAAGTTCTATTGGGGTCAAGTCCATTTTCTTCAACTTCGACTAAAACCGATTATTCGGTTCGTCGAGGAGGAAAAGTAGTTGCATGTTGAAATATTGAAGAAGTTGCTATGAAATGACCAAAATGCTCTAGTTAGTTATTAAATGACTAAAATAACTCGAGGATCAAATCTAGAAAATGAACAATGTTGACCACATGCGTTTGCTAAAATTACCAAATTACACTAAAACCTACAAGTCTGCTACCAATGCCTCCGACCATCATCTAGTGACTCGGCATATCTTTGGTCGAGTAATGGATGTTTAGGCCTCCTCGTTCACCCGATAAAGGTTATGTCATGCATGGAAAACTCGAAAGAGAGATAACGATAGTCGTTTACGACTATCAAAACACCTAACTCACCCAATCATGATTCCAACTAAGACAAGGAACGAATAGGTTACCTTAAGCTCGGAAGACTCTCGAGAGTTGTTCTCCCATGGTTTAGTGATCCAACTTGGTCTACATCGGACAATAGAAATGAGTTTCACAAATGGGTCTTTATTTAGGTTTTTGTTTAATTTGACTAATTGTGATGAAGTTTTGTTGAGATTTTAGGAGGAAAAAACTTCTAAGAGGGTGATGAATGTCTTTTTAATGGTGGTAACCGTTGGTTTGGTTAAAAAATAAAGGTTTCTATAGCTTTAAAAATAGGTTAGGTATCAACATTCTCCTTCAATTTTGACCTCTTTTGATGTCTTCCTTCTCTCTAGCTAGTTAAGAATGGTTGATCTAAGGTCGGGCTACTAGTTGGGGGTCGTTGTTGGGGGTAACACTAGCTAAAGGTTAGTGGTTTTAGGAGAGAAAAAGGTGCAAGTTTATCGATCAACCTATGGCTCAATCTAGGTCTTAGAGAGGACTCTTATGGTTTCTTTATTTTACGTTTTTTGGTTTTTTTTTTTATGGTTCCCCCTCTATTCAAATTATTAATGGTATTTATACCCCTAATTTAATTTTTCTTAATCCATTTTAGGAGTGTCTTAGCCTTCAAGTCGGATTAGACTATCCTAAAATGAGATCGAAGCTAAATTAAATGGATATAGGATAATTCAAAATTAAATTCATAGTCCTCGTATTTTTGTTTTTCTTCTTTTTTTTTCTTTTCTTTTTCTTTTCACTCATTTATCTTCTCTTTTTTATTTTTTATTTTTTCTCTTTTTTTTGTTAAATTTTGTAAATTCCTAAATATTAAACATAAAAAATTTAATTAATCAATTTTTATTTTTTAGGAAATATTTAAAATAAAAGATCTAAAATTGGGTGATAAAAATTGCTCCTTCTTTACAATGCTTTTGGCATTAAGTCATTGAAAGCACTTTTTTTGGCTTTGTATAGAAAGCTTTGTAAAGACAAAAAAAAAAAGAAACACATAAAACACAAGTAATAGTCAAATGAAAGAGACAATCATCAAATTTGAATGATAGTTGGCAATTTAATTAAATAGGTTGAGATAAAAACATGTGATAGGGTAAAATAAAGATGCATGATGGCATGGTCGGAAGGGGATGCATGATGACATGGCTTAAAGAGATACATGATAGCATGGCTTAAAAGGGATGCAAGATGACATAGCTTGAAAGGGATGCATGATGACATGGATTAAAGAGATGCATGGCAACATGGCTTAAAGAAGATGCATGATGACACGACTTAAAAAAGATGCATGAAAACATGGGTGAGGAGGATGCATGATGATATAGCTTAAAGGAGATGCATGATGAGATGAAGAAGAGAACATAATTAAGAATAGGGTGACATAAAAGACTACTTAAAGTCAAAAAAAGAAACAAGAAAAATACAAGTAACAATCTTATAGTTTTGAAAGAGCATAGGTTAGTACTAAGACATAAATTTTCTCTTTTTTTCTCTTCACTTCTTTGTCGATCGACTTGAATAGGTTTAAAACTTTAGGTCGGCTACTTTCATCAAACTTGTCTACTTATTTGCCATGTTTCTTATTATGCCCTCTATTTTTATCTTCATTAGGAGGGTTGTTTGAGCCATTGTTTGTGTCATTTGAATGGTGTTCATTATTCTAATTGAACGAGAGGTCACTATTCTTTTATGCCCTTCTTGGTACTATCACCAACTTTAACACGTCTTAAAGAGATACATGGTAACATGGTTTAAAAGGGATGCATAATGACATAACTTGAAGGGGATGCATGATGCCATGGCTTAAAAGAGATGCATGACAACATGGCTTAAAGAAGATACATATGACATGACTTAAAAGAGATGCATGAAAACATGGCCCGAGGAGGATGCATGATGATAGAGATGTATGAAAATATAGCTTAAAGGAGATGCATGATGATACGATAAAAAGAACATAATTAAAAATAGGGTGCATGATGATAGAGATGTATGGAAGAATTCTTATTGCCCAAGAGCAAGTAAGATCCTTATCATGTTATCATATGCTAATTTAATGCAATATCACATTTCATTAATAATAGTAATCACAAGATTGTGTATGAGACAAAAAAAGTGTTTGTTTTCTTTTTAGAGACTAATCAAACATGTGAAAATAAGGGTTTTTAAAAAGATGAAAGGTCATGAATCACATTATGTTGGACAAATCAAGAATAGAAGAAGCAAAGTCAAATGACTGTACTAATGAATACTTTGTCATAACTCGGATTATCTTTTTATTGCTCCGGATATAATGGGAGCAATAAGACTTAGAATTATTAATCTTTCATCAAGATTAAACATAACAAATTTAATTAATTATTTTTTATATTTTCATCATTTTTTAAAAAAAATGTGTAAAAAAAAAAGATCTAAATTTTGGTGATGATAATATTCATAACAAACGAAAGCCCTTAGTGGTTGCAAGCCCATATCAAAAGATAGGCGAGCCTTTAGGAACTTTAAGCCCATATCATAACTCATGTCATATCATACTCA